CAGAACCGTTAGTTAGTTACTGCTCAACACTATTTTATTTACTTCAGAGGGATTCGATAGATTTCTAGAATTTAATTACTGACTATTGCAGAAGCGTCAGGAAGTCTTACGAGTCATCATTTATGGAGAGGTCGTGAGAAACTATTCGTAAGATCCAACGAAGATATCGTGCATATATTTCTAAAAAGGCGCAACTCAACTATTCAAAAATATTTCATTTGATCTAACGCATACACGTTATACATATTAGTCTATCGACGGTGATGATCTCCATTCTGAGCGTGATGCATTTCTGTCACGTATACTCGTCCACATGAAGCGTCTTAGCGAGAATGAGATATCAAGTGATGTAATCGATAAGTCGCTGAAAAATTCTGTGATACCAGAAGAATCTGGTGTTATTTTACATGTAACTGGAAATTAATGAATCAGATACCAATTGTAAAAGAAATTTCCAAAAAAAAAAAAAAAAAGAAAAGATTGGTAGACATTTTATTGAACGACCTAGTTTGTAAGAATTGTAATATTTCTAAATTGAATTCTAGTACCGAAGCATGTTGTTGTCACGGAAGGTAAACACTCATTACGTGCATCATTTTTATAGAAACGTATGTACGTGAAAAAAATCAGATGCGACATTATGACACTGTGGCTACATTGATTACAACTGCAACAAACTACTAATACATTGAACACGTGTCGTGGCCTTTTTACTTGTATATTCAAATCTGCGACTCGACACCACGTGCGATACTAATTTAAATATTTTTTCTTCACGGTTATAGTTACATTCAATGCGTGCAGCTCACGACTTCCAAACCTATCGATCATAAATCAAACAGGGGCGTCAAAAGACAGAATAGAAAATTCGTTTGAGATGACATTGCTATAACGCAACGCTAATGTAAACTCCAAAAATGTTTTGATATAATCCTCTTACGAAATAATCGTTTCGTTCGTTTTAAAAGCGACCCTGATTGATCAGTTTTAATTGCACTATGCAAATTCGTTAATAAACCGCATCGATCGTCAAACCTTATCGACAGAGTGGGCGACAGTGACCGCTTGCTCATCGAGGATGTGAAACCGCACAGTGGTGGTCCCGACATCAAGTGCTCCGATGTACTTCATTGTTCAAGAACAATGTCGAGATTCCCCCTGTCATTCGAATCGTTCCACTTGAGATTGACACGTGCCAGGAACGATCGACGCCGATCGCGGAAATTCACGGAGCTGCACACCCGCGAATAAACGGCGACGCTGATCGACGTATCGCACGAAAACGCGCGGCAGACTATTGCCACTTATCGCGCGTTGGCAGTCTTAGGAAGAAAGAGACGGTACGCATGCTCAGTCGACTGGTTTATCGAAATTACACGTACTTGCATACGTACAGTGCTCGTAGACCACGAGCAACTCGTTGAACCCGAGCAAAGTTCTCACTCTTATCGGCTCTTATCAAATGCGCTTCTCTATTAAAATTGCAGCGCTTGGCTAAATCAATGTTCTAACAATGATCTTTTTATAGATTGTATAATCACGTTGCGAGTTTATGAAATAAACAAGGCTGCTTTTTAATTAATTGGCCTCGCACTCCGTTTCTGTAAACTTTTTACAGTTCTCACCAGTTCCACTCTCCTAGTTTCAATTATCGATTCGATGTTCGAATAATGATCATTTTATACATAGATTGTATAATCACGTTGCGAGTTTATGAAATAAACAATGCTGCTTTTTAATTGATTGACCTGCCACTCCGTTTCTGTTCACATTTTACAGTTCTCACCAGTTCCACTCTCCTAGTTTCAATTATCGATTCGATGTTCGAATAATGATCATTTTATAGATTGTATCGTCGCATTGGAAGTTTGTGGAATAAACAATGGTGCTTTTTAACTAATCGACGTGGCACTCCATTTCTGTAAACCTCTGCAAGTTCTCGTCATTTCCAGTTTACGTGATAGGCATAGAGATGTTAAGGAAACAGTTCTCTTACAATGTCAAGAGGCAGGTTTCCCTATGGAAATCAACTATGGAATCAAAAAATATTGCGAAAGACCTGGACTGAATACAGTGAATCACCTCTTCGTGGCGCGTAGTTATTTCTCCCAATGTTTGGAACTGGTTGTCGAAGCAGCTCTTTTCGTCTCCGTGTTACATTATTTATGGCCCTGTGGCTAAGCCTTTGAATTTCAAGTTTATTATCGTCTAAAACGAAATCTTCCGATGGCATTAGCGAGTGTTTGACGAATACCAACAGCAATTACTCGAATGTATCCTTCTGAATGAGATAAAAAAATAAGGATCACTTTGGTGTGCAAATATGTTGTCATCGGACTCGAAGAAGACGATGTTTGCAATCTCTAGTGCTACCACCTCTTGTACGCGTAATTTAATACAGCGTCTGGATAACAAGTACAGTACAAAAAAGGATGTAGTACATTAGCACCTCCGTCTACAATTCCATCCGAAAATGCTTGGAAAGGATCGAAACATGGGGGCGTCGCGTTTTATCTGCAGAATCGAATTTCATGGGGCGTCTGATAATCGTACCATCACGATGCGAGGATTCGTTCAGTCGACTTGCGGCTGTTGGCTCATTTCAATCACCAAAATGGACATATTAACGGTGCTCGGTTTCCTCGCCATCCTTCAACTGGATTCTACCGGTAAAGTGTCGTCGAGTGTCCTCGTGATCCTTCGAATTCAGGAACAGAATTTCCAAGATCATTCTGTTTAGATCAAACTGAGTATTCATAGACTAGAAATACCATTGCGTGAATTATCATTGAGTACATCTTACAATTAACTCCATTGATCCATTGTCGAGGACACTCCGTTTCTTTCGTCGCGTTATTATGTTCTGCCATTGACGTTGAGTATACTATCGACTCTAAATTGTAGCACTAACTGTCGCTGTGGATTTGGACGGTTTATGGTCTTCGTGCAAAGATTCTGTCCGCTCAACGCCCATGATGGAGCTGAAGAAGTACCTTTTCTGCCAATACGACAGCACTGTACGACCAGTCACCTCTCACAAGGATATCAATAACGTGACTTTGAAGTTGATACCGAAGATCCTAGAGTTTGTGAGTGAATTATTATTTATTCGAGCGAATGCTTGTGTTGCATTACTTGTGTCACGATTGTCTTTTTCTTCATTTCAGGACGAATTCGAGAATAAGATGATCCTGCACAGCTGGATGACGCTCGTGAGTGACTGATTGTTCTTCCTACCATTTTTAGGGGTGAAATGTAACAGGCCCCTTTTAAAATTGACACTCGTTTAAATCCCCTCTCCCCCTAGTATAAACAGAATTCTGTTTTGGGTATTAAATTTTTTAACACGTTGAACGCCACGTCACCCATATATGGGCGACAGAGCTTTTCACTAAGGAACTTCAGGAATTAATTTCAAGAGCTAAGTATTAATGAAAATAAGTCTGTATAAAATTCGTAAATTTTGATGATAATACAAAAATAAGTAATACGACAAATGTTAGGTTCTGTAGTTTACAACCGTCTCAAGACAGAATTTTAACTCTGTAGACATTTCCATGTGAATCAGTCTGGCAGTTAACGTGTTAAAAGAAACATGGACTGACTGACTTTGTTATTGTTGGTCAGTTGCTTTCGAAATTGAAAAACTCGAGTACCTCGCTTCCATAGGTTTGGATGGACAGCCATCTGACTTGGACGCCCAGCAAGTACGACGGGATCCAATACATCCACGTGAAAAGCAGCGAGATATGGGTGCCTGACCTCTCGATATACAATTCGTAAGGCTTTAACCGTCATCCTGTCGATACAAATACTTTATCATTCTATAATACAAACAGAAAATAATAACGTCAATTTGCATAATCATTCCGAGTGTCGATTATCAAATATTTGTAAATAATTGGAACATTTATCTTCTATAATACAGGGTGCGGCAGAAATAACTCCCACATTTTAAAAAACGATTGAAAAATAGTGATACGAGATACCAACAGAAACATTTTATTTCTTAAATCTAGATATAAACAAGTTTTTTTTACTTTATGTTTTAAAAATTATGTCGTCCAAACACCTGTCGGTCACCAGCCTTTACGGGCGATTCGCACTTGGAGTCGTTCTTGAAAGCTTTCCATCACTCTCGCTAGCATTTCGAGGGAAATTCTTTCAATTTCCTCTTGGATAGCCTCCTTTAGTTCATTCAAGGACCAAGGACGACGTTTAAAAACCTCGGCCTTGAGGTATCCCCACAGAAAAAAGTCACATGGACTTAAATCCGCCGAGTTACGGTCCATACAGGGCATCGTCAGAGCGAAATTTTGCAAATGGTGTTTCCGGATCGAGTGATTTATTTACGCGAAAGAGTTCCGTGGCCACCGTAGCTCGGCACATTTAAGTCCATGTGACTTTTTTCTGTGGAGATACAAGGCCGAGGTTTTCAAACATCGTCCTTGGTCCTTGAATGAACTAAAGGAGGCCATCCAAGAGGTAATTGAAAGAATTTCCCCCGAAATACTTGCGAGAGTGATGGAAAACTCTCAAGAACGACTCCAACTGTGTATCGCCCGTAAAGGCCACTATTTGGACGACATAATTTTTAAAACATAAAGAAAAAAGAACTTTTTTATATCTAGATTTAAGAAATAAAATGTTTCTGATGTTATCTCGTACCACTTTTTTAAAATCGTTTTTTAACTCTTTGGGGCAAGGTGGGATTAAAAGTGTCCCATCTTTTTGATGGACCGTAATGCATGGTGGGACATTTTTAATCCCACCTCGAAATTTTGCAATAGCTGCATGTGTATAGGTGTGATACCTTTATTAATAAAAATATAAGAATTTTGTTTGATTTAAAACGCAATAAAATTCCTGTGCAACATGGGTCTATTTTATGACCTGAATTCCTGTGCCGCAAAGAGTTAAAGTGTAAAAGTTATTTCTGCCGCACCCTGTACATTGTTGCGTGACGTCGCTTTTGACTGGACCCTTTCATAAAAATTCCATTGAAACAGAGGTGACATGTCGGACGACCAGAGCATCCCTCCGACGACGTGCTTGATCTTCAGTTCGGGGAAGGTGAGCTGCGTGCCGTCGATGAAGCACATCGCCAAGTGCTCCACGAATTACGCTTCGTGGCCTTACGACAGACATCGTTGCCGAATTAATTTTGGCTCTTGGTCCCACTCTGGCGAAGAAGTGGACTTCCACTTGGACGAGAAAGGGGTAAATCGCGTTTAAAACACAGATATTGTCATGAAATTCTGTCACAGTAAACATCTTTGAAAGGAATGTTTAATTTCGCATCGTTATTTTCTTCAGTATCAAATGGCTGGTTACACGAACAATAGCCTGTGGGATTTCCAAGTGGAGCAAGCGTACAAGGTCGTGAAGATGTACAGCTGCTGCCCGAACGACACCTACCCCATGATCGTTTATATGTTTTCTATAACTCGGCATCACGGGGTCCTGCAAATCGCATACGTAACTCCTGCAATTGGTATGGGAACTTCTCGTTCATCGTGAGCTTGCATAATTCGAAAATAAATGATCTATAATCCAGTGGCATCATTCCGAAAATAATTCATACATCTATACGATACCACTCTGGTTCTTTGGATAATATAGCGTACAGGAAGATGAGAATCGAATTCGTTCTAATACTACTTCTCCCTTTTTTTAAATCTCTAGCCATGATGTTGCTGACGTTAACTGTCCTGTTGTTGGACTCGAGATCGACGGAACGCATAGCAGTAGCCAGCGTTAATTTGATTTGCCACATGCTCTGCATATTCGACATGCACTGGCAGCTACCACACAACGGCACAAACCCGCCTAATTTACGTGAGTAATCGAAACAAAGATAGATCCTATCGCGTACAATATAAATTTATTAGGTGGACTGGAAAGTAATGTCGTTTCTTTGACATTAAATTCAAACAAATTTTTTATAAATTTCTATTTTTAATTATTAATTATATAATCGCTCCCGTTATCAATAGCCTTTTGCCATCTAGTGTGCAAATTGTCAATGGCAGATCGATAAAAATCAATGAGCTGATGAATGATAAACAAGTATTTAAAATTGCAAAAACGACATTATTTTTGGTTCACCTAATAATTATAAAATATTTCACATTCCAGTACTGTATTATCGCGACTCCTTGGCCTTGGCTGTGTTCGCCTTAATCCTGACTGCCTTGCTACGCAAAATGCTCACGATGAACATCGAAGTGCCCCATTGGGTCTCCTCGACAACGTCTTTCGTCCTCAGCAACAGAGCTGGACGTTTCCTCGTCCTTGGCGACGAGGATTCGAACAGAATCCTCGGCACGGAGATGGACGACAATATAGACTCTCCCAAAACCGAGGCAACGTCGAAAGAATCATCGTGGAGACAGCTCGCAGCCATAATCGAGTGGCTGTCCTTCTTCGTCGTAGTGATCACCTACGTCATCTTGCTGTTCACTCTCATGCCTTACTCTTAAAAGAACCACGGACTGACGTCATGGTTCCTCGTTCTACGTTCAATCAGATGCCCTCTGTAGATTCTCATTTTTTTTTTCAATAAAATGGTCATTGTTAGTCGATTTTTGTACTGTACTTTCCATCAAGCGTTCACGTTTCAGAGAATTGTTCTCGCGTTTGTCTGAGCTCGATGTTTAAATGAGAGGTGAATGATGTTTTCTAAGATTTTATTACTACTCTGTAGCTTTGAAATAAACGAAGTTACGTTCTTATTTTGTTTGGTTGATGCTGCCTTTATTTAGCCCTTCGTCAGAATCCACCAGTTAGTTATGTTTTGTTCGATAAAGTTTATTGTTTGCCAATAGAGTCACAATGTGCTTATAGAAATATAGAAAGTGACATGTTAAACAATAGTAACGAGTTCCTCGAGTCATATGCGATCCATACAAACTTGGAAGTTAACGCAGGCATTTTGGAGACATTAAATAAAGTAATAAAATAAAAATATTTTCCTCTTTACAATTAAATCGTAATAGGTTTGTGACTCAAACTTTAATCTCAAAATAAATTCGTTTGCACTCCATTTTATAGATCTGTTACATTCCATCCATAGATTGACACCGTTTCTAAATTATGGGAACAGTTTCCAGGATGATCTAGGAATTTGAAGCTATTTCGATTAAACGTGGAGCAGACCAGCCGCACAATCCCGGTACCAAAAGCTGATAAGAGGACGTAGAAAAGGGGGCGGTCCTCGGTTTAAGATTTCACTGGGCGTGCAACTATTCACCTCGATCTTTCATAGTTGCAGTAGTCGCGTTTCAGCTGGCTCGATTTGTCCTCGCGAACGAAAATGAAGAGCCTCCTTTTCGTCTGTCTCGTGGTCCTCAGCATCTCGAGTCAAGCAGCGTACGACTATACATATCCGACATCTTGCAAAGATATCACGAATAGTCCTATGATGCGTCTCAGGCAATGTCTGCTTGAAGCGTACCAAGAGGCGTATGACGCGAACGTTAGACCCAGCAAGGACCACAAAAAAGCCACTAATGTCAACTTCGAGTTGGAGATACGCCATTTCACAGTCGTAAGTAGCCGTGTGCTCAAATCCAAGGTCTCGAAGTCTTGATCACCCTTGAAAGCTTGCTCTTGAAAGTTTTGATTAGTCTTCAGTGATCGATACTTCAGCAGCCTTGAAATCTTGCCTTTCTATCATAGTATTTTACTCTGCTGCCTTTTCTGCATTTGCCAGGATGAATACTCGAGCACGATAGACCTGCACGTCTGGACGAGATGGGTGAGTACCAGCATGGATATCGAATTGACGAAATTACTTAGACTCGATACATTTTTAACGCACGATAGGAATGGACAGATGACTTCTTGAAGTGGACACCATCGGAATTCGACGATATCGACTCGTTGAAAGTACTGAGCGACCAGATTTGGACACCCGACATCACGACGCACAGCGCGTAAGTTTGAAAGTGAATTTCAATTTAATAACTAACGTCCATTTTGGTCTTTCTAACGCACCTTGACTCTGAAGGTATGAATATTGATTATAAGTCGATATAGGATCAATTGGTCTGTGCTAGGTCGATCGCGGGCGCCAATGTTGAAATGCCACTGAGTCAATGCTGGATATTCCATAGGGGAACAGTATTTTGCGCGCCAAAAATGTTGTTCACGACGCAATGCGAGTCAGATTACTCATGGTGGCCTTACGACGCGATGAATTGCACTCTTGAACTTGCCTCTTGGGCTCATTCCACTCAAGATTTGAAACTTCAGCACCTATTCGTCAAGCAGGAGGAGATCGTGCGTATAATACATTTTCACAATTTATTACAATTTACACTTCTCGATGAAATAATCAAATTGTCTAAAAATGGATGAGAATAGCGAGAATAAACGAGAGCGTAAAAGTATCAGGATATTACTATCGATGCTCTTCAATTTTTAGTTGATAGAACTGGATGAACTTAATTCACAATGGGAAATGTACAAATTTACCATAAACGAGCACGAAACAGAATCAAAATTCAATTCCAGTTCGACATCTGAGGTGATGACTAGTGTGATATCTTATAACATCGTCTTGCAAAGACACGCTAAGATTCATAGCGCGATCTTCGTGACGGTCGTCATAGGTTTGTAGTAATTACAGATTTAAATAGCAACATTTGCAAACTGTAATTACGTTTTTATTTGCATGTGTGCATAGTGCTTATGTCAATGACGCTGGTCACACTTTGGCTGGATCCAAAATCCAGCGAACGGATGATAGTCGTGAATTTGAATTTCGTTTTTCATCTGCTCGGCTTGCTGGACTTGCAATGGAGGATTCCCTTCAATGGAAATCGTATTCCAAAATTAAGTGAGTCTCGTAACATTGAAATCGATTAATTAATTGATCAATTAAATGATTAAAACTTTTCGTCGTACGACTTGCAGTTTATTATATTTCTTTATGAACTTTTCGAAAATCTACTGTCCTAAAAGCCGCGATGGGCAAGATCGTAATCGCAAATACGAATACGATTGTAATCGAGTGTTTTCGAGTTGTGATTGCGATTACGACCGTATTCTTAGAGGTTTTTAATTGAAAATTTTTCATTTTTGATTTCGACCAATGTATGATTTTCTAAGTTTTTTGGGGTCCCATCACTGCTTAAAAGCTTTTAATAATAACAATGAGTCTCTCGATCTTTGAAGACCTAGATTTGAATTTAACGTTGTATTACTTATCTTTTCAGTTCTCTTTTATCATAATTCGTTCATGTTGGCTACCTTCTCGCTTATTCTGACCACCATTTTGCGTCACTTGCAAGAATTAACCGTTGACGCACCTTTGTGGATATCGTCAACCTCGGTTTTAATTTTGAAGAGTAGAGTGGGCCAAATACTTTTGGTGAGCTTCTTAGATCCAAAACAATCTGCCAGAATTGAGTTAAACTCGGACGATAACACTAACCTCGTGTCTATCGATAAGAGAGAGTCTACTTGGAGGTACACGTCGATTATAATTAGTTGGCTCGCGTTTTCGAGTATTTTATTCGCGTATATAATTATGTTGATTGTTTTCATTCCAACGAGTATATCTTCAAATCCCTATGACATGCATACCCCAACCGAGAAGAAATAAAACTATATACAATCTTCATGTACAAATATAACACTTTCAACGAATACACGAATAATTAATAGATAAGGGATGATCGGAATGTTTAATAAAATTCGTCTCTGTGTATTCGCTTTTCTTTTTTTTATAAATACATTTATTTTGAAAAAAACATCTTGAACTTAATTGATTACTTCAATTAAATCCATCTTTGCGTGTGTTAACAGTGCATCCAATTTAAATCTACGATATTTTTATTAAATACAGAGGTTTGCAAGAGTAGAAAAAAGTGTTATAATTATCGTTTGAAAGAGTAAGTTTTATAAGATTCGTATGACTGTAACTGTGAGAATGTAGTAGCAATACACGTTAACGGAATGGGAATGCTGTCCGTCGGCTCCTTAAAACTTACAGATGCTTTGTCAATAAATGCTCTAATACAAATGACGATTTATACTTATAACGTAAATAACACGTACTACGTACACGGTAAATTATACAAAAGAAATAAAAGCACTTTAGCGAGCTATTTCTCTTTTCTAGAATAATGTAACGAGTAAATGAAAGTGTAACGAAAAGAATAACGAGTATTGAAACTGCGAAGATAAAACAAAATCGATATACAAGATGGAATGATGCAGCTTTCACTATGATTGGTATAGAAGATAATCTTTTAGAACTCGCGGAAGTGGAAGCGAATCGACTGCGTTTCTCTTGGTATATCGTAGTATAGCATCACGGCAGGCACTCTGTAGGGTGGATACTTCTGAAACATATAATTGTTAAAAGCAAAGGGAAAATATTACCAAAAATATCGAACCACAAGGACTTACCACCATACAGTTGAATTATCCTGACTTGTTTTGTAGCGCCATATACATCTACCACGGCACGCACAGGCCTTTCCTTGTAAGGTATATCCTTTCCGCACACACCTTGGTCTTCCCCATTTATAATAAAATGTATTTCTGCCTTGTCAGAGCCAGCCTGTGGCACATACATGATCCCGATACGACTGCCAGTATCCGTAGGGAGGTTACAAGAAGTATCATTTGCATTGGGTCTAAGCGCTTTAAATGGAATAACTCCTCTGGATGTTTGCACATTGATTCCATCTGTGATCAGTTTCTTCTCCCTAGATGGTATTCCTTCGCCTGTAACACACAACAATGCAACAATTAGTTGTAAAGGTTTACTGTAATAAATATAAATTCATAAATATTTGAATATTCTTACCATAAGCAGTGTCTGCCATATAGTCTGATCTATCCCACAGAGTATGGCTCTTGGTAATGGCAAATATCCAAGTATTTCCCAATTTGACTAAGTCAGGCATGGCGAATTCAGGCAATCTGTCGTTTACAGAGCCAGGATCTATGAGGGTAAGCCCTAGTCGCATGTGTCCACTCCACCCTCTTTCTGTTTTCTCGATCTCCACCAGGAAGATCTCACCAGGTTGTAGCGGCTTCTCGCTGAAGACCAGCGAGTGAGCAAAGCTAGAAGTACGGTAGGCTACCGTATTGTCATGGCGGAACAGAATGTTCGACCCATGGGTAGGGTGGAACCTTGTTATGATCTTCCTGGACTTCTCAGTCATCGCGATCTTAAGATAACGGAAGAATCGACTCCGAGTACCGGTACTACGAGTCTACGCTGTACGGACTCGTCTTCGCGAGAAGCCTCATCGAGACGAATCCGTGGTTAGAATACGTGAGACGCATCAACACTCAAAAGAAACGAACGTAGACGCCACTCTCCACGAGGAATGTTCACTTGTATGAACATTAGAATGCTTTTGTCGGCTTACATGATTGCTCGATGCGTCCAGTGGCTGAGAAAGTGAGGTTAGGTGTTCATCGAGGCAGTGCTTTCGCCGAAACCCCGGTTGAATCGGCTATGCCGCTATCGTTGCGTGCAATCGCAAAAAATGATTATGATAGCGATATTTCACGGCAATTTAGCCTGCGCAAGACAAAACAGGAGATGACACAAAGTTAAGGATGCTTTAATAGTATAATAAATTGAAGAAACGCAGTAAAAACAGCTGATTGGCTGTGTATATCACAGTGGTGCACCGTTTGACTTTGGTGCCCCTATAAGTCACAATTCAATTTTCATATAACAAAAATGTATCTAATATGTTAACTACTACTTTCAATTTCACTACGGATTAAAAAAGAAGCTCATCTTGATAATGTGCTATTTGCTTGTGTTCATTAACAAATGTTTTTTATAGCAATCATACTTTTGAATATATGAATGCTTGCTGCGTCGGTTACAGGTACGGTAGAGCCATCTAGTAGTCACTGGTAACTATTTGGCTTGTATTATATGATTGTATTTATTAATTTTTAATTTTTATCGTAAATAGATCATCAATCTCTAGTAAAGTATTATTAGTAATAAATCAATCTAGTAAGGTATTATTTATTACACTGAAGACATGACCTTGCGTCTATATAATAGATGGCGTCATTAATATCTATTTACCGACATATGGTATACATTCATAATAATTACGAATTCTATTTATGGTGATAAACTTGGAGTTATATCAGAGGTATTGCAACAATAAAATTTAGCTAGGAAAATATTTTTTTATATACCACTGTTGGTAAATACGTTGTATTAACGCCATCTAACGTTGGAAATAGGAACTATTCCACGACAAACTTGAGCGTTTTCGCGATAGAGGCGCTGATCAGACTCCGAAAATAGTTCGGTAAGCCACCGCTAGATAGCGATACCAATTTCCGCGGGAAATTTAAATCTCTTTTTATTTAATTGAATTAAAGTTCATTGAAAGCATTTGTAGATAGTACGTATTAGATATTATTAAGTAATCAAGAGTCTTTTTTGTATAATTTAAGACGTCAGTAACGACTAGTTTGTGGATATTAATTTCTTTTTTACGTGATACAGTTCAGATATCAACTAAACACTCTAATAAAGTAACACAATTATTATTTTTTTTTTTGGTAGCAGATCATCAATCTCTAATAAAAACATAGTTTATTACTCTGAAGACATGATCTTTATTTTTATTCGTAAATCCCCCTTAAATAATACACCCAATTAATATGAGAAAGATTGTGATCAGTGCAGTATACCAGCAATTTCCCCGTAACAGGGTACTTTTCTTCCACAACATCCTCTTCATCCTGTTTCTCATCGAGGAGGCTTACTTTGATATCGATGGTCTTGCAAAAAATATTTTGTTTTACATAGTTAAGTAAAGAATGCATATGAATATTAAAAAGGGTGGTTCGGGAGGTGATTTGAAACAACTTTTTCCTTAGCGAAAATACGACTGTACGAGGCTTCGTTAAGGAGATATTAAGAGAAAACCCCGACCAATCATAGCGCGCGTATACCGGCGGAACGTAGGCTTACGTGCTAGGCGGCCGCGCACATTCGCTACCGCGGCCGCTCCAACGGTATACGCGCGCTCTGATTAGTCAGTGTTTTCCGTTAATATCTCCTCAACGAAGTCTCGGACAACATTTTCGCTAAGGAAAAAGTTGTTTCAAATCACCTCCCAAACCACCCCTTTCAAGGACCTTCAACATTTAACAAAAGATACCTGTTTGGGATCTAGAGTTGCTGATAATTTCTCAACTGTGAATACTTCAGGAATATCAACGAGGAAGTCGAAAGTCTTGATTTCTTTGAAGACATTTCTAAAAGGTATTAGCTTCGACGCTTTTTGCTTTACGACGTAGGGTCCCATGGGTTTTGGTGGGGAACTGGTGCCAATCAAAGGAAACCTTGAAAAACAAAGTAACAAAAACAAAATTCTGATGACGGTTGCTTATACGAAATCTTCCGAGTTTTAACCCTTTGCACTCGAGGCCTTTTTCTCTTAGGCGAACTAGCAACTCCAAACGATTTCGGCTATATTAGGGAAGCGTTTTACTGGTACTTTATAATGATCTTAAATTTAAGCAAACGTATACAAATAATACAATTTATAAAACATACAGCATATAAAACAAAATCTATTAAATATTTTACTTTGTATTTCGTTTTTATGATATTTATGATATTTTACAAAACAATCCCCGAGATGGATTCTCAGTTTGTTAGGGCACGTATCATAATAATATGAGGTTTCTCGCCTGACGCCAGGTTTATTACGGCCATAGCAAACCGTACACTCCCTCTTTATCTCCTTCAAAACAATACGAAGCTTTCCATTTAGCCGAGACTCACCGCTGTTTGGTCTCGCCGTTTGATCGCGATCCTGGCGATACGGTTCTTCCAATTCTTCCATAAGTGTTTCTACATAGATAACCTAAATGGTTTAGTGATCTTTCCTTTCTTTTCTTTTTTTCTTGCTTAGAAAGGGTGTACAAATATGTCAAACATCTTATCGCGCATCGAAAAAAAACATAATAGTCCGAGAGTCCGCGACAGAAATGGGTGACTCATTTCATTACACAAATGAACCTGTTTTCAGAAAATGGTATGTCTCCCTAGTTCAGAAATGCTTGGTCTGGCATGAATTCAGTGGTGCAACGCTTCACTATGGCGTATTATAATAATTTGATTTTTGGCCAAAATCATTACTACTGAAATTTTTAACGTGTATTGTTGGCATACCAAATTGCATAAAAAAGTTGGTCTAGCAGATTGTAAGCGGTGCTGAATAGGTCTGGCAGTCGGAAAACCTTGTCAGAAAAACGATACATAAAGTTTCAGAAATAATGATTTCAGTCAAGCTACTTCGTTTTTCCGACAAGGTTTTTCGACTGCCAGACCTACTTAGCACTGCTTACAATCTGCCAGACCAACTTTTTTATGCAATTTGGTATGTCAACAATACATTCTAAAAATTTCAGTAGTAATGATTTCAGTCAAAGATACTGTTATTTCTTACATGTTTCCGACTTTCTAGCGGAGCGATGCACCGTTTGTGCTCTGCCAGCCTTGGATTATTTTTATTCTTTAGTAGAAAACAGTCAAATAGCAAAAGGATATTTGTAATGAAATTGGTCGAAATTTTATGTCGCGGGCTCTCGGACTATAACGAGTTAAAGAAGGCCTGGGCGCCGCTACGGCGCTCGTAGAGTGGACGCGCAATACTGCCCGGGCGCCGTAGCGGCGCCGCTCGAGTGCAAAGGGTTAAACTTGATTTTTAAAAGTCTATCAATTCCATTTCCACCCATTTCATCCCCTTAATTCAATTTCATTTCCTTACACAAAGTCTCCAGCAATCTTCGACGATGCAGTTAAGGTAGCAGCGACGTTCTCGACGTCGCATGGCTCGTAAACGACCTCGATCATGCCAACGTGGAATTCTGGTACCACTATGATTCGTGGACTCGCGAAACAGTCGTTATCAACCTGCAACATTATGTAAAACACAATTTCTTAGGATCCACTTATTACTTTCCAGCTTTTCGCTAGAATATCTACCATTAAATTTAAATGTTTATTCAGTACCGTAAAAATACTATCGAAATTAAATGAAATATTACCATGGTTAGGACTCCTTGTACAATGTAAGATGAGAATGTAAATTTAGGTTCTTTTTTATTTTATTTGAGTACTTACTTGTATCGTGAATTCAGTTCTCTGCTCGGTGCAGTTCTTCACAGGAAGCGGAAACGTGCTGGTGGTTCCCAGAGTTGCGCTCACGCGCGTCACTTTTTCCGGTAGTGCTGGTGAGGCTTTCAAACGTAATTCGTATAGGAAACGCCCGAGTTCGTGGCAATTAACTTCGAGTATGGCTATAGTCTCTGATGGCAGCATTGGGTAATATTGCACATCGACGAATTCCTGTAATTTTAAAGAAAATCTCAGAGTCACACGTAAGAAGTAACACCGCTCTAGAGGCTGAAAAAAGACCTAGCTTTGATTATGAATCGTCAACTTACGTGAGATAACGGAAGCACAGTCTTTGGCATATTACGAATGAAAACGAAAGGATCGTCGCACTTGGCCGTGTACATTATGGAGTCGTTTTCCAGAGGATTCTCCAGTTTCAAAGCGTGACACACCTGAGACCTTACCGAAGTTGTCAATTTGATAGTTTCGAGCACTTCCGGTTCCGTGACTTCGTACTCGACTTCGTAGAACTGATACTCCTTGTCTTCGGTCGTGAACGTCGCCTTGAAACAAGTGGTTGACAATTTTACTCGATTAACGATGATACCATAAAAATTAAAAAAAAAAAAAAAAATGCAGGAACTCTATGATCATTTTTAGAAGATTTTGAAAAATAGAGGTCTAGAGTATGTGTCCTACTTTGAAATAAAAATGCGATTCTGCGTAGGAGTAGAACACTGCGCGATAGTCTCGTTGGCTCCTCGCTGGAACGTCGATTCTGTTGTTGCCAGTGAAATAATAAAGGGGAATCTGTTACGGAAAATAAAATTGTTGAATTTCTGAATGTGAAAATAGTTCTAAAAGAGATTTTTTAAAGGATGAAAAGTGGATGTCAAACCTTCGTTTTTGCGTTGTCAGTCATCAGTGGTTCGATTTCGCACTGGAATCTTTGGTGTCTGTGGAGCCAATTGTGAACGGGTAACAATTCCGTGTATTTCGTTTTCGCAGGGAATCGTCGGTGAATTTTAGCCAGAACTTGAGGAGGAAGGCTGCTGCCGCGAAGAGAATACACCAAGGGGGCTGCTCCATCTGGTAACTTGAACAGCAGCGTACCCTGCAACGATTATAAAATAACCTTTACGCATTTCGATTGTTCAAAGTGCATCAAATAATGAACATCCGGAGATCACAGAAGCGTCTGGTCTTCGTACGTTTTATTTGCGATAAGAACTAACGCATTTCTTGAGATTAATAATAGAATGTAATAAGAATGTTTAGACGGTGTGTCTAAAAAGAAACCGAAATTTTGCTATTAAGGGGACATTTCACTGTGAACGCACAAAAAAAAGCATATTTTCAATCATTTTTTTCTCAGAAACTATTGCATAAAATTGAATGAATGTTTTTTCCCCTTAAAGCTATGATTAAGGAAAGTAAATACAAATTTTTTTTTTGGTAAAAATAATTTGCACGTATGCAAAAAAAAAAGTTATCCGTTGACGCA